AACAATATTCCGCGAATCCATATCCGCAGGAATTGCCGAGCGACCAACAATATTCCGCGAATCCATATCCGCAGGAATTGCCGAGCGACCAACAACGGCCTGGACCTTACAATGCAGGACATCAACCAACGTCGAGGTACATGCACCGACCAGAATTGTCAGCAGATCATGTCACGATGCACGGAGGAAGTCCAGCGTCTTCTGGGCCGGCGCCGAATGGGAGATCATCATATCCGCCGAGCAGTGGCTACGTGAGTCCCATTGACGAGACGCAGGGCGTGGGCAGAAGAATGAATGATTTACACATCTGAAAGCGCATGCAGAGTTGACGACATTAATGGGTTTGGACTAGAGAATCAGGATACAGATACCCTTGTGTACCGTCCCCGAATCTTCTATGTAGAATGACTCCTAAGTATTGCCGAATGCACATGTTTTTGATGTCCGCTTGCGTATCGTAATTAGGTAGGCACCGTAGCCGACTCGAGTACCAAGTCAGTCGGTACACTGATCGACTCAGCTACCCTGTCCTCACTACCTTTGTCCCTAGATTACTCGTGAATGAAAAAACGAATTGCCATATACGCTTTGGTCCTAGAGGGTTGGTGAGGCCACTTTTAACCTGAGCTTTAACTAAACCATTAGATAATGTTCGCTGAGCGCTCCCTGACTACCCAGTACTCCCTGAGCAACACACTAAGGGGCTTCTTAATATGGCACCTTAGCAATCAGGTAGGCCTACCTCTCGGCCATGTAGGCATCAACCTAGTATTTTATACTGGGGTCAGGGGCCCATGGTAGGATCCCTGACATTACGCTGCTGCCTAAATTTTTGAGGCCCTGCAGTTTGGCAGGGGTACGCGGTTGAATCACGTGTCACAAAGTAAGGAATCTGATTTACTGGGTACCGAGTCGGCAAATGGGGGTCGAGGCGCCACAGACGCCTACCTACTGTTCTGTAGGTAAGGTCTCCGTCAAACTGCGAGCACCCAGTGGTGAAAGATCCCCTCCCCCGTGATCGCGCCTAATAGCTCGTCACCGCCCGAACTTTTGGTTGACTTTCACCCCACCTTTGGTCTGCAGGAGGCCACCGGACTAATATAAGATATAATGTCCGTCTTCAATCTTGCTGAGCATGAAGGGTCTGAATAGACTGCAGACTTTAACAAGTAATTCTATGTCTCTTACCTGAAACACAACTTCAAATACAGGCGCGTTTCGCTAGCTACGAAAAGAGAGAAGAGAAGAGAAGATTAGCTACAGGAATGAGGCGACTCGAGCAACAACGGTTAGAGGCGTGTGCCGAGGCGCATAATCCACCAAGATTGCTAGAGTCCACATTAGGTGGGGGCCAAAAACGATCATCAGCAGTACCCAGTACAATACCATGCACCCACAGATGGGGAACGGGAACGGGAGCATTGATGGCGAATTAATAGCTTTCATCAGTCTTGTTTCATTTGTATCTCCCTCCCACCACCACCACCACCACCATCATCATCAACCACAGCACAAACGTCCGACTTCCTTTTTCCTCATCTCGGCATACAATTCCTCCACCTTGGTCGCCGTCTCATTGAACTTTTCATCCTCAAACCATCCTGCCACAGCGCCCCGATCCCCAACCGCGCTTGCACGTCCCTCACACCGTGTCTCACACACAGAACCCACGCCCACGCACCCAGCGACAAACCAACCACAGGCAGCACCAAATTCAGCACAATCAACGCCACGACCTCCGCGACGGGCACCTTCGCCACCTGCTTCGTTTGAACCTGGAACATACCGACCGCCTGCTGATCCGGGAGCAGGCCGTCACTCAACCCCAGAATCGTGCGATCGATCACTCTCGCAAACTGGTACGCCAGATCCTCCGGGCTCTCCGCCGAGGCTGCAGCCAGGTTGACTCCTGTGCTTAGATTCGGATCTCCGAAACTATATGACAAGGCGCCGTAAAAGGGAGAGCTTGTGGTGTGGTTCATTGGCGTAGTGACGGCGTCGTAGATGCTCCCGTCAATCCTCACCGAGTACGTCACATCCGACAAAGTCGTGCTGCATGAGATGATGCCGTAGATGTTTTCGTACGTGTCCGCGAGGAGATCTTTGTCTGGGTCGTAGGACGTGTCGCTAATGATTTGAGAGTCTTCGCCCCTGTACATTCCATCGTCGCTGCCAGCCAGCAAAGAGAACAGCACTGCAGACCATATTTTGCCGTGTGCGGCGCCGTTAGAGGTGTTGTATAATTCCGAGGGCGTGCTGAAAAACTGTAGGACCACTGGAAAGTCGCCGCCCGCAGCAAGAATGTCGGAGAAGTTGCCGGAGATATTCAACCCTGCTGCGTCTTGGAGTGCAGATGTATGCCCAGCTCTGACACGCGTCACAGTCACCGTTGCCGTTGTAATGCGGCTTACATTGTTTGCTCACTGTTTCAGATGTTGTTGAAGAAGCATAGCTACTTGCTGAGAACCGTACACCAGACGGGGATGTGGGTGGCGTGAGGATGGCGGTCTTGCTATTATCAGCAAGGCGGACGATGTTGCGTGTGGACTGATGCCCGAGCGTGAGGTACACCTCGGTCGAGTTGGCGAATGTTGTCCTCGCACCAGAACCGCCGAGGTTGATGTTACAGGGAGCATACACAGAGAGTGTGGAATTATCCCAGCGCACAGTCGGAGGGCGACGACCACAATTGAAGTCTGTGGCAAGGTAAGGCATGGTGCTGTAGTACTGGATGGTTGATGTCCCTATGTGCAGAAGAGTGTCGACCATCGTGATGCACACGGCGAGATTGAGCATGAGTGCTAGGACCAATGCTGAATGGTGTTGCATTGGCACTGCAGCCAACCTCTTCCGCCTTGGATGGATTATATACATGAGGTACCGATATAGGTCCGTAGAGCTGCCGCCGAGCAGTCGATCGCGAGCTCGAATTGGTATGGCGAAGGAAGGTTGGATGATTTACCGGTGTTGGATGCTTTCTGCATGGTAAACGCCACCATGTACCCAAAGAGACTCATTGCGACAGGTACCAGCGCAAGTACTAAGGTCGAGGAGAGACACGAGATGAATGCGAGCCGGGTTGCTGAGTAGTTCACATAGTACTCTTGATCACTGAGTGGTCGATTCGTGCCGTCTACGGTAATGCTATCAGGGATGCCGGCACCTTGGTTTCGAGGCTGTAGATTGGCAAAAATCAAATACATCAGAACAAGCGAGAGTGGAAGAGGACCAAGAAGCAATAGACATGCCCTGATGATATGCCTGTTGTAGTCTCGCATCATCGGCCCCAGCACATAAGATTGTGGGTTAGTATAAGAGTATTTCCTTCAACTGGCGGAGAGGGATCGTTGGTGTCGAGTGCTCCGCTGGGTAGGAACGAGGTGTCGAGCGTGGTGGCATCACTGCTGTTGGGGCTAAGTCGCTCGTAGAGAGACAAGTTGGTGCTTCCCCCTTTCGCCGCAGCGCTGTACCTGGAGACAGGTGCACGAGGTGGTAGATGTCCAGGGAACAGCGACGGCAGCGCGTCGTATCGAGCACTTGGTGTCGGCATCGTGACATGGGCAACTACGGCGCAGGGAATCTGAGAGCAATGCCTTGCTTTGGACCTGGCAACTAGTATATATGAGTTCTCAGGCGGAGAGACTGTTCTAGAACACTAGCAAATGTTTCAGCCCTCAAACGAGCCCGTGCAACACCTTAGTGGCATGAGTGGCGCGGCTTGCTGTCAGTTACAGAAATCAGTTTTGCGATGCTGAACCTGGATTTCCGGTACTGTTATTCGATCGCTCGTATAAACAAACGGTACAGAAACAAGCCCGATGTCAGCACGGGGAAGAGCTCTTTCACCACCCCAGTTTATGAAACGGCAGGCCCGGGATGAGCCTTAAAGTGACCTGCAAGCAAACCTTCCTCAACCTTCTCCAAGGAGTGCGCCACCAGCGCAATGTATGTCGAAAGCCCCTAATATACAGCTGAATATACCTTACCAGTGCCCGCAAGGCCTGAAATCGACCTCCAATCTCGCCAGCGCTGTGCTCTAGTATAGGCATCATACAAGGAACCCCCGACCACCGGATCCTGCCTTCAAGTCGCAGTACCCGCACCTACCCCGGCGTGCAACTGTCCCGATACTAACGTCGGCAAGATGCCTAGAAGAATCTGAATGACTCCGATCACAACGCCGATGATGGTGTCTGACCCGATGGCTGAAGGGGACACTTGACGCTGAGACTCAAGTTCAAGGCCGGCGCCGAAACTGTGGGGAAGGCGCTGGAGGCATCGTGGTCGGGCATCTGCACGATTTATTAAATGTTCAGGAGACGTTCGAGGACTCCGGTGTGCCCGCCAAAGCCTCCGGTTCCCAACCAGCCACACCACGCCGTGCAATATTGAGCCGACACGGGTCGCATACCCAATCTATCTCACGGACTCGACATTTACAAGTACTATAACTACTAGTGCAAAGTCTCCCTCGGCATCAACGCAAGCAGCCCAAGGAGTCAACCCCTTCCAACAACCCTGATCCGCTGGCAGTCTTGTCCGCGGCCACGAAAGCCGGTATCGCCAGCGGCAGTATTGTTGCGATGGTACTTCTGCTCAAGATCGGATATTGCGTGGGACGTTGAACCAGAAACAAGCGTCAAGATCCTGTGCCTGTATTGTCGATGAACTCGGTAAGTGGCCTACATGATACAGCATGGACGTCAAATTCGCATCCACAGAAGTCGGCAACAAATGCCCCGTACGCAGCCAGAACTCTCCGAACTCTCCGAACTCGACTTGAATCGCCCAATATCGGCTCCCGCGTATGAACTTCCGGAATATAAAGCATACCTCTTTAGTCTCGGTAAGGCGTCTCATTTTCACGAAGGCCCTGACCTCATAGAGCAGCCTGACCCAGTGCCCGAGCCTTGCACCATAAAGGGTACATACCTCCTCATCTCTGCAAGACCACATCATGTGCTGAATGCTGCAGCATGTTCTGTACTCGATATGTACTGCAAGATTGCCTGGTGACGGAGTTGAGACAGAAGGACGACCAAGTGCTCAGGCTGGACTCGGGGACGCTCAGGGAGTTGGTCAGCCACGCACACCGTAGGCTTAGTTCTATCAGAGAATGAGAGGTTGAAGGTCCTTATTATCTACCCAAGAAGGCTAAGGAAGCTCTCTATATAGTTTAGAAAGCGAGGAGGTTAGGTATGCCCTGCTAGCCTTTTGATAGGTTGCTCGGCTTAAACTGACATCGGACATACAAACACTCTAAGTCATCAACTATTCCTAAATTAGTCATCTCTCCAAAAAGTGTCTTGAGAGTTCTGTGCCAGCGACCCTCTTCGTACTCGACACTCTCAAGCGGCTCACTTCGGGTCTCTCAAGCCTCCACTCTGTCTGTTGTGCATTTAACTTCACTATTCATACGAAGAGTACGCGCAGCTGACCTAGTCCACCACCTGGGCTTTAATTAGAGTCTGAGGGTGAGGCGCCAGCAAGTCTCCTTGTAGCACTTTGGAGGGAGTGACTTCACGCGATAGGTGTTGTCACAACAACGATTGTATTGCGGGCTCTGGCCGACCACCAGCTGTGGCCGGCGCAAAAGAGACCATATTCTTCTTTTATTGGGCTAGAATGAGTATACAGGGGATTCCTTCAGCTTTGAATGACCTTGCGGGTCTGAACAGGCACCTCAGACAATTGAACAGGCAGAATTAGCGTATCGGTTAGGGTGCAAGGCTGCACAAGGCTGACGCTGTATAGGTCGACGGCGAGGTCGTGGAGTTGACAGGCGAAGCAGAAAAAGAGGGTTATTCAGACCATCAACGTGATCGGTTAGGTTTCGACCAATTATAGCGTCAAAGGACCATGTTCTTGATCCGGCTCCCCGATGGCCTCTCGCTTGGAATCGCGATCGTAGTGACGCTCAGTTCACTGTGCGCCATCTGCGAGATATCAAAATGGTTGTATGATTGACGTGGAGAACATGGGTGATAAGTCAGGAGGTCGAGATCCCAGTGTTGAGACAAGCGTCGAGTGGAAACATCTAACAGACCTCTTCGGAGCACTGTGCTCAGCCGATAATGTCCAACCATAGCACTACTTAGAGTCACATTCCGCAGCCGGCCGACCTACCTCCATCCCTAGGATGGCCACGCAACAGATCAGTTCGTAAGACAGACATCATACGGAGATGCGGAAGTGAATCTCCGAGCAGCCCAACTCTTATATAGAAAGCTAGCACTTAGACTGAAGAAGATCCATCAGTTGCCCATGAAGGCTCAAGATAAACGGTAGCGTCCTTTCATTCCACAAGCAACCATCGTTCCGCGTTCCTGCTCCTTAGTTTGAGAATAAGATCGGTTGCTATGGCGCCAGGGTGCGTTGTTATTTATTTCAATCCTATTCAATCAGATGGCGAAGGTGTCTTAGCGAACTGGAGAAAGAAAGTCCAAGAAAAGATTCCCGGGTTTCAGTTGCGTACAAAGATGGTCGCCACCGACTCCAGTGACATCGAGGCCAATTTTTACCGATATGAGGACTTCATTGAAGTGGAAGATGCGAGCAAGGTCACTAAAGATTTAGTCAAGGAAATGTGCGAAGAGGGCCCACTGCAACACTCGGATTGGCATGTTTACGAACGAATCTCGAAGGACAAACGAGATGACCTGGTTGGAGATGAGAGGCCCGCTGGAAGCCAAATTGTCCAGGTGGGCTCGGCTCCCATCAATTCACCCGAGCATATGGAAGAATACCACACATGGTACCAATCGGAGCACCGGCCTCGGCTGTCCAAGGTCCAAGGATGGTGCATGGGCACTCGCTGGCAATTCTTGTTTGAGCATGGCGATGGGAAAGCACCATGGAGGAGAATCCTGGCGCAGCAGCAGTATGAAAAGGAAAACGGGCTGGGGGGAGCCCAGTGGAAGAGCTCGATGCAGTCTGAATGGTCCAAAAGAGTCATTTCAAACGTGGAGATGCCCAGCCACCGTCGCACTTGGGAGATAGTGCAGTGAATGAAGAAAGGGAGGAAGAACGGCCTGCGTTCTTTTCCGGACTATCGATCTCGGAAACCTCTGGATAAAGATAAACGCATATTCACGCTTTGCACTCAATGGCTTTCTATAGTGGCACGAACTTCCAAGTGCGCCGGTGATAAGGCCGGGCCAGACTTTCTCTCACTCTCTCTGTCCACGGAGTGTCGATGGAGCGCTGCCAGATAGGACCTCCCAACCCATTCTCAACGTCGTATTCGCTGGCTGAGAGGAACAGGGCTGCATGTTCTCTCCCGCTCCCGTCGCTTGAAACCAACCTATACCGCCGAGTGCCACGCCAGCCGGGAACTTCAGCGAGCATGCCTTGGTGTTCCTGGTCAAACCAGTCGAGATAGTCTTGGGTACTAGCGAGGGTAGGATCCATGCCCACCTGCACGTATTCTGTGCCCGTTGGTGGATATTCGTTGCCGTCTATCCCGGGCCTTGAACGTCGGGCGATTTCGTGATAAATGTTCCAGTCCGACGAAGAGAACAGTGTCGATGACTCGGATCTAAGGTGTTCGATTGTGGATTTTGTAAGTGCTCCCGGGTTCTCCAGATTGATTAAATACTGGTCTCTATACGGTTTTGAGGAGTCATGCTTGTCGCTGGCGTGCAGTTTGAACACAGAGGTGCAAGTTGGAATAGCCCGCTGAAGATTTTGTCCCCATTCTTGAAGGTGCTTCGAGTCGACGGCAGAGTTGATTTCCACACACAGAATGATACTGGCGCAACCCATTGCAAGAACGCTGAAGAATACTCTGCTCGTTACCCCGCAGACGACTCATCAGGTGTTTACCAAACGAAATTCGATTTTAAATTGTGTAGCAACCACTTACTCGGGGTTCCGGCGGCAAAATACGACAGTAGAAAAGCTGCAACCTCCGACGGAGATGTCATGTCCGCTCAGGCCCCGGGGGCTGTATTCACCCGCAACCAACAATGGAGCTGGCCAGGGCATGCTCAGTCTCATGCAGCGTAGACAACTTTGTCTCTTCAATTGCCCACAAATCTGTTTCATTCTCCTACGTCGAGGTTGTCCCAATACGACACAAAATGTCGATCCCGAAATTCTTTCCAACCTTCGAGGAAATCGAAAACAACAGTCCGCGGTACTCAGCATGGGGAATTTGGGAGAATCCTCAGTTGGGGGCTCTCAACTACCTTTCGGACAGTGTGGTTCTAAAAACCGCAACGCAGGAGATTCAGACTGGCATCCGAGTCGGATTGAAGTAAGCTACACAGACGAGGACAACTTTCGATGAGCATCTACCTGCTTACCGCGCATCCTTGACAGCTTACCTCTTGATTTTGTCGACCCCCCTCTGCTTGGTCGCCGAGGTTTTGAGCGCCATATCATTAACAAAGCACCCCGGGTTATAAATGATGACGTTGTCTGTACCAGACCTTGACGTTCAACCGCATCAGCTACTGAAACTTGGCGCAGATCACATTCAACACGCAAGGGAGTAGCCAGTGGGATAGCTTTCGCCACTTTGCTTACCAAGATGAGGCCAAGTTCTACAACAAGTGAGTGCAATGACGTGGTGGATCTCTGCTCAAGTCCAGAGAGACTGAAGCAACCTACAGTGTAACTCAAAGCGACATACACGATGATCCCAACAGTGGGGTGAACGGCATGGAAGCGTGGTCTGCCTCAGGAATTGCCGGGAGAGGCGTCTTGATCGATTACTACTCTTGGGCTGGGCAGAAGGGTATTCACTATGATCCGTTGAAGACTCATGCTATCAGGTTGAGTGAAATCAAAGAAATCATAAAAGAATCCAACATCGAGCTCCACAAGGGCGATATTTTTATGCTTCGGACCGGTTCGTATGACAATGGTGCTGGCTCGTCGGAGCAAAAAGACGTCTGTTATGGAATTGTGGGCCAATCACTAATTACCTGTTCCAGGATTTGTTGATGCATATTCCACGCTGGACAAGAGTACCAGAGAGAGGTACAGTTCAAGTCACGCTTTTCCCGGGTTGGAGCAATCTCGTGAAGTAGTGAAGTGGTTGTGGGAGCAACAGTTTGCCGCCGTTGCGGCAGATAGTCCTGCATTCGAATGTGTTCGTACGTTGAAATTGAACCAATTCTACGTCCTGAAGAACAACCGAAGGCAGACGCTAACCAAAGCGGTGTACTGAACAGCCAGTGCGGATCCAGAGTTCGGTATGCTGCATCCAATCCTACTTTCAGGTTGGGGGACGACGATTGGAGAGCTGTTTGATATGCGAGGCCTTTCAAAGGAGTGTGAAAGGCTGGGTCGATGGTCTTTTTTCCTGGCTTCTTCTCCGCTGGTATATACGGGAGTCGTAGCGTCGCCACCCAACATCATGGCAATCTTGTAGGGTCGCAAATTGAGCCTTTCAGATGCTACATATATGTAATCTGATGAGACCCGCATTCGACAATCCACCTGAATTAAATTGCCCTCGAGTCAGGGGCTTGAAAATAAGATACACCTGACACAGAACGCCAGATGCAGCCATCGTTCGGAAGAACCGACCCGTGAACAATCTCACAGCTTCCTCCTTTCCATTACTTCACTGAAGAGTTATTTGGCCCAATAGGGTTTCGGAAGCATGTGCCCCGAGCATGGAGCCTTTTGTTTTGGGTCTATCTACTGTAGCGCTGATCCCCTGAGATTTGTGAAAGGGAAACGGGTTAATCTTGCTTCATGCGCAGTTCCTTTAGTTACTATATTCACCGTATGATGACTTAAACGACTAGACACCAATTCAATGATCCTTGAGCGAGCTGACACATTCAACATGAAAGTTTGAAGTTTCCCCTTTCTCAAGCTCGCTAGGGCATATTCCATCGGGGCCGTCCTGTTGTCGAGTCGAGAGTTTTGGTGTGAAATTGTCAAGGTGAATGTCAGCACGATGCACCACGACCTCCTTTTTGTCTCCGAAGAGGTCTGCCATCTCTTCCAAAGGTACCCCTTTGGTTTCGGGAAACTGAAAGTACAACCAGATCCAGCCAACTACCGAGACACAGATGAAGAGCTAAGGATCGTTAGGCCAGGACCATTCGGGAAAATCATGTTTTCAGTGCTTACCAGAAAGAACTTCCACCCCACGGCCGCAAATGCATATGGAGCTACCTGTAGGTAGAGGATATCACTGGCGGCAACAGTGGCAATTGACAGCGCGACTCCTTTTGCTCGAACGTGGTTAGGGAATATCTCTCCAAGAACCACAAGTAGAGGTGCGTCATAGCAGCTAGCATAGAAGCACAAGTAAACGAAGAGTGCTGCAATGCCGACTCCCAAACCAGCGGCATTATCGGTTCCGCTGTACTCTGCAACCATTGCCGAGTTGATGGCGACGCAAACAATACAACCAGCCAATCCAATAAGCAACATCAGTCGCCGTCCTAGGCGGTCCAACAGAATCGCACCCACCAGATTGCCTACGAATGCGACTGACAAAGCCGTGAGTAGAGAGTCTCTCGGGCGATTCGAGCTTGAACTTACTAGAATCCCTTCCGGACTGGATGATAATCTGTTGCTTCGAATTGAAGCCTAGCGCCGCATAAAAAATGGGGGCCTACAGATCCATAAACATCCATCAAGTCGTTCTCAACATTGGGTAAGAGACTTACATAGTTTTGGATAACAAGAACGGCTGTGCTCTGGCCTAGAAACGAAAGCCCACAGCCTATTATCACGCGTTTTCTGTACGCTTTGGAGAATAGGGCTCTCCAGCTTCCGTCTTGTTTCTGATCATGTTGTGCTTGCATCTTCATCTGGTAAAACTCCTCTCGAGCGTACGTCTGATCTGAGCCGTCTTCTGGAGAATGAAGTTGAGAGACTGTCCTCCACGCTTCATCAACTCTGTCCTTCATCAAAAGGAATCGTGGCGACTCGGGAATGAAAGGCAGAGTAATTAACGAAATCATCGGCCAGACGAGACTCAGGCCGGCCGGGCCGCGCCACTGCGCCGTTCGATTGTCTGTATAGTGAAAGGCTAGGCCGAAATATGAGGCAGTCGCGTAGCCCAACCCCAGCATCACGCCACACATACCCGCTGTCAGTCCTCGGTAAGCAGGGATCGAGAGCTCTGCCGTGTATGTGGGAGCTGTAATGCATCAGTCGTCCAAGAAGTCGCAGTTTCAACGGACCATTGAATAGATCTTACCCACGGTCAGAAATCCCCAGCTACCCATGCCCGAGAAAAAGCGAAACACAAGGATCGTGGCGAGGTTCGGAGCGGCCGTGATGCCGACACCGCCGACGATGGACCAAAAGATGCAGTATAACATGGCCGCCTTCCTTCCATAACGGTCTGTGATTTGTGTGCTTAATATCACTCCGAAGACCGCACCAGCCTAGGAATGTCAGGATTATCTCCTAGGAGCAATCGCAGCGTGGGCGGAATGTTTGATATACCTGAAAGATTCCCCCAAGAGCTCCGACGAGCGATGTTTTGCTCTTGTGTATACCCTTTTCATCTCCGAGGCCAGTGAATTCGAGGAATGAGGTTTTGGCAAGCATGGGGGCAACCATTGCTGAGGGATATCCGAAACCAATGACACCGATTGAGACCAGAAAACACATGAGAAAATTTCGCCAGCTGAAATGTGGCTTTGTTGCCTCGACCGAAGACATTTTGGGCAGCGTGCAACAAAGGGAGAGTTCCGTACTTTACAGCAGGTGGCAAAAACCAGTTCCAAAGGACTTCTTGTTTTGCCCTTGCCTCATGGCGAGTGCATGCATCCTTCATTCGCAAGGTCTCATTTATGTATGATCGAGGCAAGTTTTGATGCGGAATAACGGAGGTCTGATCGCCGGTTGAAGTTGGGTGGCCTTCTCTACCGAAGCTTCCCTAGACGGGGGTTTGAAATTCGTTCAGAAGCAATAGAAACGGAATGGCGTCGCCATCTGAGGGTTCAGCGGCCCTTTTGCTAGGCTACTTGGGGTGAGTGGGTAGACTTGGCCATAACGGTCCCCTTTGCATCCTGACCGCGGACGTAATCAGCACGAGCCTTCATTTGGACGAGCTCACGGCGGGAAATCACTTACATCGCAAAGCCCAATCAGTTTGTTGAGTTTGATTTTCTCGTTTGGTTTTCTCTGCTACAAGAATAGCAAATAGAAGAATCCGTGCAAAACAAATGAATGCCTTGCCCTGGTCTAAAATATATACTCTTCTCCCCATTTTCTGTAACGTGATCTTGAGCGTTCAAAAGCTCCCTTTTATGATGGCTAATCCCTCCGCTCTATCTAGAGCTCAAAGTTGCTGCTAATGCTCTTCAAGTGTCCGAAGCCATGTCCCCACGTCGTGACAACAATCTCATCGCTCAAAGCAGCGAGTCTTGCGCTAGACATGGTCAGCGAAGTGCCAATTTCCAGAAACAATATTCAGGAGTGCGACTTACATAAGAGGATCCAATGCCTCTTTGATCCTTCTGTGGGCGTTCTCTGAGGCATACCGTTCAAAGATCGTCAGGACCGAACTCTCGCCGTCCTTCCTGAGCATGGGGTAATAAGCCAGAACTTTCGGCTCTATATGGCAAGCCTGGGTCATATGTTCGATCTCTGCGAGAAAGTTTTGCATTGACTCGGCTCTATATTTGTATTGCGATATCAGGACCAACGACTGGTCGCTTTCGTCCAGGACTGTTGCTGTCGACCCCCTGTTGATAAAACCGGACGGGGCTGCTGGTTTGAGAAGGATTATCTGAGGATATGTCTTGCCCAGCAGCTCCTCTTCCGCAACCACTTTGCGCATCCTCTGATATTCTGCACCGCTGCGGTGAGTTTCAACGAGTGCAGCTTCATTCTCATAGCTCAAATTCTCATCAGCTCTTTTGGACCCTCCCCAAATGGTTAGGAGGCCACTCTTACAACTCAAATCCACAGATCCACTCCCCTGGGAGGGTATTGGATTGACTTTTGCGAAACCAACAATACGCTTTATTGTCAGGTTCGTCCGACAGCGTGGCCTTGGCGACATCACGTAGGAGGCCTCTAAACTGCCAGTAAGATCAGCCTTTGATCATTTCTTGGTCATACTGGAAGACAAAATACCAGCCTTCCATCTCCCCGCAACTTACCTTTTCACCCTTTTCTCGCGAATCGAGCTGGCGATATACGCAGATTGCAACAGTCATAATGACTGTAGTCGACAGTAGTTTCTCTCAATTCTTGTTTGCTTTCTCGCAAAGGAGGTTGGAAGAGATCTGAGAAGTGGCCAGCGTCCCTTGGCAGATGGAAGCTGAATGTAAAGTCTTTCTTGCGGCCGGGCACTCGGGTCGCCCCTTTCGGACATCAGACCTCCGTCCCAGCTCGGGGCGAAAGCGAGCGAAATATGGGAGGTCCAATGCCATACCAGCTTACATTACAATGATCAGTCCTCTTTTGAAAAGCATTCATTAGTTTCATCCCCACTGGCCTCCTAGGTTTCGTGATACAAGCCGTCTTCGTATCGACTTCAAACATGTCCCAAATCTTGGACACGGACTTTTTGCTACATCTGATTGACATCCACAACATTGGATGTGGAGAAAGGCCTCGACTAAAATGGTATATAACCGCCATCATTGCATTTGGGGGAATGAACTATGCAGAATTGATCCCAGAATTGTATAAAATTGTGCTCGGCACATATGTCGCGGACGAGGATCAGATGAGTGAGACTCGCAAAATACGCGAAGCTCTCACTAAGGTCTGTGGGATATGGGGTGCAGCGAAGGTATGGGTTTTTGTTTTTCCCTTTTCTGCCAAATCAACTCAGGCCTTGTGGAAAGGTGCACAGGAGAATTGTGCTCGTTTGAGAATCAACACGCTGACCACTTCTCTTTGGCTAGACGGGCACGTCTCTTAGACAGCTTCTCACAGCTACACCAGAATATCTGCAGGAATCGAAATGCTACAGGTAATTCTATTGTAACATTGTGTTCTCCTCGTCGCTTCAGCATGACGATGGCGGTCATAATTCCCATTGCTGATTATCTTTCCTTTCCATACAGGGCCGGCGAATCACAAGAGACTGCCATTCAACGCGGTCAAGAAATGATAGACAGTATCTATACCAAGATTCCTGGTTATGATACATCGCTCACCGCGAAAGGATCAGCGGAGTACTCGTGGATAGTGACCAGTGAGTACTCCAAACCTCTTATTTCAATTTACCTTCCTAGAAGATTACGTCTCGACTACCACAGTGATGTCGGATACTGTGGCCCGACTGACAGTTATGATGTCTCTTGTAGCATTGTTCTATGGCCATATTTTTTCCTTCCCAGGGATCCTGAATCAGGTGGAAACGGGGCAGTCCATTGTGGCGGCTCTGCTGAGCACTGATTGTCAAGAGCAAGCGCGCAACCACATGATGGGGATGCAATTCAATGGAGCAACCAGGGAAGAAGTTCAAGGAGTCCGCGCAGTGGTGGTCGCAATTGCTGAAAGGCTTGGAGTGCGGGGGAAGCAAGGTAGGACGGCTATTGGAGTGCCTAGGATCGATTGACTCTGATAGAAATTGCGGCTTTGTAGCGGTATTTGACCCGCAGTGTGACTAGGTTGAAATCTTGAGAACAGCTACTGACTGACTAGTCTATAGAGTTAAGCCCTTCCGTAAAGCTTAGTGTTGTACTCAGGCTCTATGTATCGTTGTCAATTGTAGATTTCGGGTAAGATCATCAGCTTCCAGTATTCCTCAAAGTCCAATGTCTGAGTATCACCGATACTGGTTCCCAACATCTCCCTCCTGCTGAAACCATTGCCCAGCCAGGCGAAGCGGTTCAATCCCAGCTTTGCATCGGTCACATATTCGAAGTCGTAGTCTTCCCATCGGGGATATCTCAAGGCTTCTGCAAAGTGGAAGCAGCTGCCAGCGTAAACCGCAACAACCCGCCCGTCAGTCGTACCTCGCTTATACCAACTTCGGCATGGCGCCACCCATACTGTCTTTGATAACCAGTTCTGGGAATAGATGTTATATTCCTTGGTCGCTTGCGTCGATACGGTCATGGACTTGATGCCTTGTGTTTGCAGTTTGGTGATACACTTGTAGATGTAAATTCCGGTCATTTGAATTGCTTGGACGAGCGAGCCATTCGAGATTGGACTGTTTGGGCCTATGAACACTGAGCCTTTGTTAGTGTTGGTCTGTGCGGCAACACTGCGCATGACGTGCTCAGCAATTCCCGTTTAGATTTTCAGAGCTGTTTGGAGTAACTGAGAGATACTCACTGAAGTAATTGGGCATATCTGGTACAGCGATACTGAAATATGCCTCCGGTTCCTCAGCAGCCCAGCGCTCAGCCAAATTCACGGCATTCCTCCCAATCAACGGAATCCGTGGCCGAAATGTTGTATCAAAGCCGGTAGCACAGAAAATCGCGTCCAAGTCTCTATGGGTACCGTCCTTGAGTTTAATGCCCGTTTCTGTGATTTCGTCGATGCTATCCCACCAGCTGTCCACGTTATCCTGTATCAAGGCTTCCAGGAAACCAGGTCCAGGTGTGAGACGTCGACAGCCCACAGGGAACTTTGGAAGAAGCCATGATGCGATCTCCTTGCCCTTTGGCGAATCCCCTAATCGCGCCAGCATAGTGCGTCGGAACAACTGATCCGTCTCATCCCGGACGTTGGAGTCTGCCACTGACCGTTTGAAATTTTGAATGCGTTTATCTGCCAGAAACACTCGATGCCGGCGCAAGTACTCAGGGTCAGTCTTAAACCGTTCGAGTTCGTGTGGGGCGTAGTTGTACTCATCGTCAACGTCGGGATCCTCTGGTGTAGGCTCGTTAATACCAGGAGCAGGAGATATCCATGTTGGCGACCGGACAAAAAAATCCACATGTTTAGCCGCTGGGCCCCTTGTAGTCAGCATCTGAACGGGTCCTCACAAGTTGGAGGAGCAGACACACTCTTTGCAACTTTCGGTAAGATTTGGATTCCTGATGATCCAATTCCAATCACCGCCACATTCTTTCCAGACCAATCATAAGTAGTGTCCCAGTCTGCCGAGTGAAGCAGTTTTCCTCGAAACCTTTCAATGCCAGAGATAGAGGGCCATCTCCAGTTACTAAAACCTGTCAACCGTTGCTTCCTCAGGATTTTAAGGGCGTTTTCCTACTTCAAGACTCCCCCGGCATTGATCAGCACGTCGCACGAGTCCTGGAATTCTTGTCCATTCGCCTCGACCATGAGATTCCATTTGCATAATTGGTCACTCCAAATGGCACTAGTGACTTTGTGACCATACGCGAAATGCTTTTCACATCCAAATTTTGCTGCTACATCCTTCATGTATGCATGTATTTGTTCTGAGGTGGCGTAATAGTTTGGCCAAGCCGGATTTGGAGCGAAACTGAATGCGTAATTATGCGCCGGGATATCACACTGACATCCAGGATATCTGAGCCGCCCGTCGAGTAAGTATATGACCGAACACGAGAAGGACAGTCCCACCTGTTAACGAGCCAAGTGCCTCCGAGATCTTGGTTCATTTCGTAAACTTGGAAAGATACGTTATGGTTCTTCATCTTCTGCTCGGCGATAATTGCCATCATCAGACCAGAGTATCCCGCTCCAATGCACACGACGCGAATGGGTCGGTGTTCCCCAATGGGAAACGTCCCACTGTCTGAGTGAATCTCATTCTGTTGGGCGATCATCGTGTAGCCGGCATCGATTCAATGGACAAAGCGTCTCTTGCCCGTGGAATTTGCAGTTGTTCAGTGAGATAGTGAGAGTGATGATTTCGATATTAGTAAAGTAAGCCAGACACATTCCGTGCCTTGGACTTTAATGGCTGACAAGTTTGTTCGCGCCAATGTTGATTGCCTTTGAATTGCAAGCATCCCGGAGGACATGGGCCGCTCGGAGATGTGATGTCCGAGGAGGAGAGCATGAGACGAGCTGGTCTTGAAATGCTTGGGCCTCACCAAAAGTTGATTCGCTGGCCTAATGTTCTTTATCACATCTACTGTCCAGGTTCGCACGAATAGTTCCGTGCCGGACGACCGGACTGTGAGCCGAGGGTTTGGGGGTTTGTTCATGAAGCTGGTGATGGGCAGGAAAAGTGTGTCGAATCAAAGACCAGTTTGTGCGACTCGCCGTGGCAACGACCCTCATGACTTCCTGATGTGGTGCCGTACGCCTATCTAACCAGTCAGGCCTCGTTTGCCTAAGCAAATCAAGCTCTCAAAGCAACTTGTTCACGCCGTGGTCGTGGCCCAGATGCCGACTTGGAACCTCGTGTTTCCGAGGGCTCGTTCTATCTGTTTTGATAAATAAAGTTAGACTTCAGGAACCCCGCCCTCCGCGGCTGGAAAGTTATGGCACCGTCTTGTGCGGGGACCGAGCAGGTCTGTAAGTTATAATAGTAAGCAGAAGTACTATGCCTCGCTATTAGGGTTTCCCATCGTTGAGATCCTCCTTCGATCGGTGACCAACATACAGTCTTTAGGCCACGTTCGGATGTAGCCCGCCCAGGAAAGCGAGAGTAGAGATCGTGGACAGTCGACTGCTAGTGTGTAGCTACCCGACTCGAGTTGGGTGGGAAGATCGTATTGTATGCAAGATTCTCAAACCTGTCTTACCCTGGTTGCTGGTGGATGCTCGAGCTTTCTCCTGCCAAATGACCGGCCTGAATACTCAAATTCGCAAGAACAGGGCTTGTCGCCGTTGTCGCAAGCGCAAGGTGAGGATGGAAATATTGATTTTTCTTGCGCAATATGATGTTGGCCCATCAATGACGGCTGACAATCGTCCCATTTCTAGATCAAATGTGACGGCGAACATCCAAGCTGTTCTACCTGTCGTCCATTGGAGCTTCCTTGTCTGTACGAAGCCGATGGTCGCAAGACTTCCCGAGTCAGCAGGGAGAATTTTCAATCGATGGGCGAAAAGATTGCTAGTTTGGAGCAAACAATAGCACGACTGACAGGCAAGGATCTTGGAGATGCAAACGCACATCTGCGCTCGCCAGAGAATAATCAACGTACAGTCTGTTCACCTCAGGAGCGAAACAATTCCCCAGCAATGGCCTGCGTGCCTAACCGACCGGGCAATTTCTTGGTTCCAGAGGAGTCGCCCCATGAAGAGACACGGGTTGATGGGATCCGAGTCCACTCTCTGGTACAGAGCGAGACAGGCATGTCCA